TTTTTTTTTTTTTTTTTTTTTTTAAAAAAAAAATATTATAAATTTTATAATTTCACTTGAATTTTGATATTATTTTTAAATAATATAAAAAATTAAATTAATTTTTATTACCTTAATTTTTTAAAATATTAAATAAGACATGGAGTTTTAAATTTTTTATTTAGTTTAGAAAATTTATTTCAATATTTTGAAATTAAATAAAAATTTTAAAATTTTAAAGATTTATAATTTTGGTTTTCTGACAAAAGAGCAGTCAACGTGAAGCATGACTTGGCTTTATTTAAAGCTGTTTGTTGGCAGACAAATCCTGTGGGGCCCACGTCTGGTGTTCTAAAAAAAAATAACTTACTAAATCTTTTTTTATTTTAAATTTAAATGTATTAAAGTTTCAAATTTTAATTTCAGATTTGACCGTGTGTTCGTGTCTTGCACGCGCATTCTATTAAGACTCGTAGTAATCTGATTGTGCGAGGAGCAACGTATGCTTAAGCCTCTAGCTTCGTTTTTGAGAAAATGCTTTAGAAAACGGGGTGTGAAAACCTCTCCACAATGTTTTAAAATCCTTGAAGGGAAGCTCGAAAAGAAAAGCTCAAAGAAGATAGCGGTGGACTTGGCCTGTTAAAAATGTAATATCTACTAGTGGTATGTTTGAGCTGTTACAAATGTTATCAGAGTTAAACACTGGGCGGTGTGCTAGCGAGAATGTTAGACTCTCAAGGGAGATGGATGGATGGTGAGATCTCACGTTGGTTGGAAAGGGGAACGAAACATTCAGAAAACCTCTTGGTAGTAGATTTCTAAAACTGTGAGGCTGACGGCGATACGTAACGGACAAAAGTGGACAATATTTGCTAGCGGTGAGCTTGAGCTGTTACAATAACTATCGAACATGAAACTAAGTTAAAAGAAAATTGAAACAGACATATAATCTTATGATCGTGACATCCAACGCGTTGTAGTTTATTTTTGATAATTTAGTTAATTTTAAAATAAAAGAAATATATTCAATTTTTATAGAAAAAAAAATGGTTGGCATGCAAATTTGGTATTAAAAAAAAAAAGACAATAATTTATTGTCTTTATATTTTCGTATAAATGCCACGTGGAAAAGCTTTCGAATGGTCGTCTGAGACACACAACTTTATTTATTTATTATTATTATTATTTTTAAAAAATAATTACATTATTTAAATATATTTTTTCACGTGCGGCTTGCTTATAATACACTTTTCATTTAATTTCTTGTCTTTATATTTTCAAAACGTAAATTGTTTTTATTTTACTCTTATTTTCCAACCAATTTCCAGTTCATTCCATTTAATAAAAAAATTATATTTATCCATAATATATATAAAATATTTACCGGTCATAATACACGTTAATAACTAAAATCTCATAAAATATTTACGAGTCATAATACATTATTAACATCAATTACACAAATCGGGTTAGATTGAATCGTAACCCTATTTTCAAATTTGTCGAGTTAACCCAACCAAAAAATTATCACCTACAAACCGAACCTAATTTTCAATTTTCAAACATTCGAACCCAATTCATTAAAAAAAAAAAAAAAAATCGAACCCAAACCATATTGATTGAATTATCGGGTCGTATAAACACCTTAACCTAGATTTAGATTATAAATTAAAAAAAAAAAAAATCAAAATCTAAGCACAAACCAAACCCCGCTGTGAAAATCAAATGAAACTAAACCGAACCGAACCGAACCGAACCAGACCGCACCCGAGTGCGAATGGCAAAGGGAAGGGTTAATGGGCTGGATTGTGGAGCCAGTCAACAAACATTGCTTTCTTTTCCAAATTAGCAATCTATTCATTCAATGAATATAAAAGAGACAGAAGAATCTATACTCACATGGTTGGTGGTGGTGGCTTGCCCCTTGCTGCAACCAAACCCATTTTCAATGGCCAAAATAAATTATGAGTATTATCAAATCTCAACCCCTATGAGTTTAATACCCACCACCCATCAAGAACACCAAGAACATCATCATCATCAACAACAACAACAACAAATTTTTAAATCAACAACATAACACAAAGAAACTGGATCCAATAACTAACTACATCTTCCTTGCACAAATTGGTGAAGCAAGATCTCCTCTGTTTCAATATCAATCAACAACACCGGTGGTTTACCATATCAAGGCCCGAGCAGCTGCAAAAACAGCGGTTAAAACGAACGGGATGTGGCCCATGTGGGTTGATCTTGGAGCACTGCTCTTCTCATTCAAGGGTGAGCTCGAGGGCGGGGGCGGTAGGTGCTCGACATTGATAGCGAGCTTCATGCCTCCATAGCAAAACCCTTTGCCACTTATGAAGTAATAAGGTCTTGTTACATTCAAATGAACAACATCTCTTCCAGCTCCTGTGGTGAAGTTTTTTAGTGGATTCTCAGAATTGCAAGCCTCGTAGTTTGTCTTGTTCACCTCCAACACATCCATTTGGTTCCTGTCGTACACAAAAACTAACAACAAAGACCAAATTAGCTATAATCCCGACATCCTCGTCGAACTAGTTCGAGTAACTAACCATATTTCGACCCAATACGTTCAATCTTCGAGAGTTTTTCTCATATAATACTTGATAGATCGTTACAATGTAATGTACATACGTGCACGTGCAAAGGGATACATGGATGAACCGACATTACATCAAAACAAGAGCGACCGAGAGATTATGCGAGTTGGAACTTTCTTTTCAGCTCATTTGCTAGTAACAAACCAAATCTTAGCAGATTTCTCTAAATGATTCGATAACCGAGAACAAAACATGTTGAAAGAACCCGTGTTGATTTGCATCAAATCCAGATTCTAAAACCTAGTCCATATCTCAAGCTAAGGGACAAGAACAATCAAACACAGAAATTCAAAAGGCAGAACCAAGAACATCAAGAACCAATTTCATTTTCCTACTTCTTACACCAATTTTCTCAGCAACCAAACAGAATCAAGAATATCAAAATCCGACAAAAACCCACAAAATCTCTCCTCAAAACTAACCAAAATCCAAATTATCAGCTACAAATCCAAACACCATTAACAGATCTAAAGATAAAAGTGCTTACAGAGCCAGTCGTCATAGTAGAAGTGCTTCCCTTCAGCCCAGACAGTGTAGTTCACATTGGACGTCCACCCCATGTTGTCACCAACAGTCCACCGTTTAGCTGAAACTTCCGACACCGCCGCCGCCAGCAGCAGCAGCACCACCGCCGCCAACAGCCCACCGCCGCTGCCCCTTCTTAGAACCTCCATAGCTCTGTATTTTTAGCGTAGTCTAGAAGGGTCTGGTTCGAGGTTTTATTTAAATGGGTGGGAAGGGGATTAGTGATTATGAAGATTAATTAAGAGCTTGCTTAATGGATCTACTGACCGCCATTATTTTTTTCAATTCGATACAAATTATTACACCTCAGCTTTTACTTTATTTTTTTGGGGGGGAAATCAAAGTTTAACAATTTGGGTCCAAAAGTTGAGATTTTTTCACACGACAGCCAGCTCAGGTTTGGTATTGTTCTTAGAATTCTTTAAAACTCTGTTGAACTTATATGTTTTGTTAATATATGAACATATAATGATACTAAATGATTTTGAGTCCATAATTTAAGGCTGAAATGGCTCTTATTTGTTGTATTTTGGGAAGTTGTGGGGCATCAAATGAAGTGGAAGACTACTCATTTCACACATAATCTAGCTGTCAGTTTATGTACTAAGAGAGACAATGGTCCTAGCTTGCAAAAAGAAATTCAATCCAATTTAGGGTATTTTATTTGTGACTCGAACACTAATCCAAATTTACACTCTAATGGCTATCTCGTTCATCTGGAGCTATTGTAACTTAGTCTCATTATGCTATATTAAAAAAACGATCAATTTATGAACTCATCAAGCTATACCCATGAAAAGGGAAAAATGTTTAGTTTTCAGGCTATCGTGTTATACTCGGTGGGAAAGAAAAAACGAATAATTTCTGCTTTAGTAACTACTGTTTTATTGACTCTAATATTTGCAAACTTTTAAGGAATGGAATATTATCAAGCACCCTTCACTGTTGGGGAGGATAACGAATCATTCTAAACTTTTAAGGAAGAATGGAATATTATCAAGCATCTTTCACGGTTGGAGAGGATAACGAAGCATTATAAACTTTTAAGGAATAATGGAATATTATCAAGCACCCTTTTGGAGAGGATAACGAAGCATTCTAAACTTTTAAGGAATAACGGAATATTATCGAGCACCCTTCACTATTGGAGAGAAAAACGAAGCATTCTAAACTTTCAAGGAATAATGGAATATTATCGAGCACCCTTCACTGTTGGAGAGGATAAGGAAGCATTCTTCATAAAGGTGTGGAAACTTTCACTCTGACAGACACGTTTTAAAAATCTTAAAAAAAACTCAAAAAGTTGGAAATCTTCATAAAGGTGTGGAAACTTTCACTCTGACAGACACGTTTTAAAAATCTTAAAAAATACTCAAAAAGTTGGAAATCTTCATAAAGGTGTGGAAACTTTCACTCTGACAGACACGATTTAAAAATCTTAAAAAAAAACCCAAAAAGTTGGAAACTTTCACTCTGGCAGACACGTTTTAAAAATCTTAAAAAAAACCCAAAAAGTTAGAAACTTTCACTCTAAAAATCTTAAAGAAAACCCAAAAAGAAAAACCCAAGAGGAAAATATCTGTTTGCGTGGATTTAAGTTGTTACAATTACATATTGTATTAATGGCCCTACATTTTTCTTAATTTTTTCGATCAATGTATAAGACATTTATTATCTTTTTTAAAGT